TCTCTGTGCAAGCGCAATAGATTGAAGTGACAATTCAGTTTATCACTGGAAGATAAAACTCAGAAGAGCGTTTGCCTTCTAATTCTATTAATATAAATGTAATTACAAGGACTAATTCCAATTCAAATGTTAACTTATAAGGGTTGGTGGAGGTAGCAGCCTACAGAGGAAGAGATGATGCTGGAATCCCTGATCCTTACATTTGATCAATAGTTCAGTGTTAATAGACTTTATTTATGAGTTGGAACATATGGTTTGAAAATGAGCCTAATGATTAGGTTGCACATGCTGCTCTAAACACAGATCAAACAAATACTCTTTGTTCTAAGTATCTAAGATGTATACCAGTCACTAGGAAAAAAAAAAGAAGTAGATTGAGGTAATAGCCTGGGGCAATGGGAATTTGAAGAGAGAGGGGAATCAGTGGACTGTGTAGTCGGGGGCTCTTCTGGTGCATTTTCTTATATCCTATGAAATTCAAAGGTAGACCTTCACCTGGTAGAAATAAGCATGGCATTATTGAAGCTGATAGAGCTAAGCTACGGATCAGGTCCCAAATACATTCTAATGCATATATATTCTAATGCATATAAAGAAGAAAACAGGACAAAAGGAAGCATGAACATAATAGACCTAACAGTCCCATTGAATATGGGTCAAATTCTGAGATCCTATAAAAATTGTCATGCCAGCCTTGTTCCCTGGGAATTTTCCTTGTTTAGAATAATAATATTTTTCTACTGTATTACCTCGATCTGAACAATGTCACAAACCTTCCTTCCTTCTAGCCTAGCAATTAAGCAAAAGACATTTTTGAAGTGAAAGCGTGAGGAGGAAAGAGTCCAAGTAGCCCTGTCCCCTTCCATTCTGCTCAGTGGTAGCAGAAACGTACCCACGCCTTCCAGACCATAAAAATCCATGGCAATGAGATGCTCAGAGATTTGGGATTCCACAGACGATTTGATACGCGCGTTTTGAAAACTTTCACAATATCCTCAGATCAATTCTGAACCTCCATGAAGTGATACCGAGATGAGCTCGCCCGTTTCAGCCACCGCAACAGCCAAGGAGACATTGATGTTGACACGGAACCAAAAATTTGTCACGCCGCTGGGAAAGAGCAAGGCTCACAGGAGTGAGTGATACTGATCAAAGCAGATGAGAGTCAGGAATGTTTATACAGGAGATGCAAACTCGCGCACGTACCTCGGCGATCTGAAGCCGTCAGAGTTAATATGCTGTCTATGAAAATTTGTTCAAATACAGCACCTGTCACAGCACGTACAGGAAAAGTGTTTGTTAGGTCAATCTTACATGAGAAGAGCGAGGTGTAGTAGGAGGGGAGCTCACCCAAGCCGGCTGGGAGTGGGTGCGTAGCCGGAGCAGTGTTATCTGTGCACCTTGTCCTCTCCCAGGCACCAAGCCCCAGAGGTTATTGCACTAGGGGGACTCCAGTTTTACTCCAGTGTGGTCATTTCTCGCAATCTTAATAATATTTGAATGCCTGGCATGCTTTAATATTTGTCTTCCAGCAGTACTCTGCTAGTGCTTGTGCTTTACTGATTGTTGGGGGTTTCCTCTAGCCAGAGCTGGGGTTCAGGGCTTTCACCATCCCATTGCACCCTCCTGGGTCACTGCTCGCAGGAGAACCAGGGGCAAATCCCCAAGGCTGGTACTGCTGTGCTAATACTCTGCTGCTGTTTTGGTAGCTTATCTACTGCTGGTATCAGGAATAGACTTCAGATGGGTGGTGTACTGAAGAAAATGCGATGGCCAAGGAGTTTTGACCTCTCACTGGGTGCTTAAAACAGCATGCCATTACCATAGCAGCTGGGCACTCTGTGGGAATATCATTCGTACTTCATTCATATACAGGCTATCACAAAAGATTACTTGTATTATTGTGTGTCTTTAAGCAATAGGAAAGCAGCAGATTTGTATTTCAGACGTCCACAAATGTCATTGCTATTGTCCATGCCATTGTTGTCTGCCTTAACCTGAACTTTGAAAGCTCACTGCATATCGGATAGTTTCAGAACAAGTCTGTGTTCTTAATGAGTAAATGAAGTTACTGTTACTTTAGTTTATTCTAAGTGTTGAACCCAGCATGGGATCTAACCTGGAATAGTCATCTTGAGAATATTGCAGTGGAAAGTAGAGCGTAGGATTTAACATTGGAAATTAGAAGTTGATCCTACTTCTTATACAAAATTGAGATTGACAAAATTGAGGTTTATCTACATAAACCTTTAAACAAAGATGTGGCTCTGAATCAAAATTAGGGAACTGGAGAAATGAAGTTGAGGATTTTGTTCTCTTAAAGGAAACTTCCCCAGCAAGACTGTCAGCAGAAAGAGCTGCCGCAGCGGAGAGCTAAGCACAGAAATTAATGGAGTCAGTTCTTTTTCTGGAGGTCAATTTTGAATAAATCAGGATTGTTTAAAAATGACAATTATTGATTAATTAAATTTAAACTTGGAGCTTAGCCCTCTTAGTTTTGAAGAGTCTGTACACCACTTTGGTATGAATGACCAACTGAAAGGAAGAAAAAAATATCATTATTTAATTAACTGCTGTTCAAATCGGATCCAATGGCGACAACGGTTTTGGAGGTCTGTTCCCCACAAGTACAAATAAAGGGGGCTTCTGCAAGTCTCTCTCTGCACTCAAATTCCATAGAGCAGCTTACTTGGTGTCTGACTATAGAGAATCGTGTGTCCATCTCCAAAATGCAATCCTCAAAAGACAGAGTAAGATAGTTTGAAAGTAGTTTACGGGTCCAAAAATCGACCAGCAAAGTGCACAAAGCTGGGCTGTGTGGCCACACGAGCAATTTCTAGACTTATATGAATGTAGCTGAAAGTTAACTGGGCAGGGCTTAAGTCTGAAAGAGAAACACTCAGCACATAAACCCAGGAGGATCCAGGTACCTAAATTAGAGATACTGCTCTATCTCTACACCCGAAGCACATCACATCAGCTCGCTCTATGCAAGGGCTAATGTGGGAGCAGCAGGATCGGGCCCTTTGCCTATGGAGGGCAACCAGCTGGAAGAGGGAAAAGGAGGATATGGTACCAAACACGGGGGGCTGGAGGTGAGCAAAACAAGAAACGAAGGGGCACCATGTTGGCATGAAGTGATGCGCTGTCACGGGCAGCTCCCAAGCTGATCCCACACTTAAAAATAGATTGACATTTATCCAGGAGGCGAGTTTGTTATTCTGTAACTACAGCATTTTCCATTATGTTTGATAAGGGAAAGAAGATTGGATCTTGGTCAGAAATATAAAAAATTCGTCTCCTAGCAGGGGATAATAGCGGGAGAACAGGGGCAGATGACAACTGCAGATTTAAAAGAGTTCAGTGCAGTCCCCAGCAAGGAAGACACCTTCAGTGCTGGGCTGAGATGATGTTCTGCAACACACGGCCAGGCCACCCCTGCAGCCCCCAAGCTGGGGGGACATCCCACAGGCAGTGACCCCCAGGCTCTGCCCTCCTTAACTGTCCTCCTTGGGTGACCCTGGGCAATTCTTGCTGAAAGTAGACTTACTTGATGCCACATGGAAAGTCATCAGAGCAAGACAGACAAGGCCAAGGTACCAGTAAGACCCTGATCTAGCGGAAATTTTGGGGTGGAATTGGGATTAGGGCTGTAGCATGGTTAGGAGATGATTGCTGTCGGGCTGTGTGTATGTGTGTCCATGTATATCCAATATATGCCTAAGTGGGTGTGAGGAATGTATATACTGTCTGGCTTTTGCAATTGCACATTAGGTAGTGCAAAAACCTTAACTTTTCGCAAAAAAAAAATAATCCAAAACTCTTTTGTTTCAGTGTATAACTGTTGATCTAAAATGGAACTTCTTGTTTTCTAATTCACAAAGCTTAAAAGATCGCTCATTTTATATTAAAATGATAGCCTTTGCAAGAGACCTTCAATCTAATTAAAGCCAGGAGATTAGCATCCCTTAGAATATTTGCGAAGCCTGCAATGCGACGTTAATGAAATGTGTACACTTTTATAAAGCTTTAATTTTTAATGAAATAATTCAGGACCCAGACCTTGCTCCTCTGCCTCACCTGCTTTGTCCAAAACAGGGACTGTTTGTTTACAAACAACGCAGAGTCCTGGGGGTGAAGAAAAAAGAGGACAAGATGATCGAAAGGCTTCTTTGTAACTCCGACAAGCCTGTCTTTTATCTCTTCTGTTCAGCCTGAGAATGTAAGTATCCTGATTAATAATAATGAATAAGAATATGATTTTAGAGTGGCAGTCATTTCTTAAGGTTATGGATATGTATGTATGGATATGGATACATATGCATGTGTGTATGGTAATGGATATGTGTGATATGTGTATATGTGTTACATAATGTAACATTTTAAATATATAATATAATTATATACTATATTTATATATGTGCATAACAAATTATACGTAGAATTATATAAAAAAATCACAGTGACTGCTCAGGGAACTGAAATAAAGCAAATTAGGTAAAAGAGAGCCCAGTGCTGCAAGGAAATGTCTCATATTTGGAGAAATGGGCTGAGCTCAGAGGTGAGGGAGGGGAGCAGCCAGGGCTGTAGCAGCCTAGTTCAAGGGGATGACCAAAGGAAATCCTAAGCAATTCCAACCCTCTTTTAGGCTTGGCTCCTCTAGTGATGGCCCCACACATCCCCAGGGATCACACACACCCTTTCCTGGGCTGCTTTGGAAACAGCTACGCCGTTAGAGCTATTTACTGTATGTGCTGCCTTCGCCCTTTCCATCACTCCGAATTTTGCCACTGGAAAAAGCTGGCTGTTGCATTCAAAATAGCACTTTTTTTATAGCGCCCCAGTCCTACTTTACGTTATGCTTACCGGATCTTTCTGAAACCTAAATGTTAGAATATCCTAATCTAGCTCTGCGTTTTAAAGCTGGCAGATAAACCTGTTGTTTAATGAAATCCACAACACTACAGGAATAGTAACCATTGTGTTTCTTCGTTTCAAAGAACGGCTGAAATCTAACATCTGGTGTAACTGTACAAACCTGACCTTAGGTCACGGTAAGTATTGTATTGTTGATGATGGATACGCTTTTTTCATTACAATGCTGTCTCCATTCTTTCAGCATCCATGCTGTGAATCCCCAGTTATAGCCAGGACTATTGATAAATACTGATTTTAAAAATACAATTCCTTCTTTTTTTACACTTTTAAGCATGCATTGTAAGATATTTTTTTTTAAATGGCTCTTCTAGTTTGTTGTCAACAGTATGCTATTATTTGAGCAAACTCTTCTGCATGATAGCTTTAACACAAAATGATCAAGGATTATGTGTCTGAAGAAGTAGCTATGATCCTAAAAGAACAGTGTCACAAAAAGGTGACCCTCTCTGTCTAATGCCTTCCCCTGTACTTTGGGGAAGCATCTTTACGTGCTCCTTGTCTTAAAGCCCTTGTAGGACTAGTGTTTAAGGTTTAAATTCTGAAGCAGATGTGGACACCTGTGAATGTGTCTTTGCACATTGTTGCTTCAAGGTTTGAAACCCTGTGCGAGGAATGAGGCCCTGCACTATCCTGTATGATAGATGTTCATTATTTCTGAGGCCTGGAGTAATATGGACTACATTGGTGGCTGTGAAGCAGCTCACAGCAGAGGTCCCAGCAAGCCCAGTGATGCACCAGTCAAAAAATGTACCTGGTAGCACCATAGCTTTATTTTTTTCTCCTAAAGCTATGAAAACTTAAATTTATTTTCCAGTCTTTTGGGTACCATAAGCCCAGGCTCATTCAGACTTGACTCCTTGGGAGAGAGATGCTGACTGGGATTGCTGGACACACCAACAGCAAAGGAGAAAGTGCTTTCTTTCCTAATCCATACGCAAGGTTGTAATGCACATACTGTGTCCTCCCTGGGTGCTAATAATGCTTCATGATGCTACTGCATCATGAAGCAGAGCTAAAACAGAATACCCTTGGCTCACTGTGCTGCCTACGGAGACGTGCAGAATGAAATTTTGAGTTCCTGAAGTCCCCACGCTTCCTCTAACCCAGCACTAACCAGCATGGAAAATGTCTGAAGGCACGGCATTTACACAATTTACACAATTACATTTAGGAAACATCTATTCATTTCAGTTCTGCCAAAGCTAAATACGTTTATAGATCTGTTCGTAATTATTTTTAGAGTAGAATTCTGTTTGTTTGACAATATCTGAAAAATGAAATACCTGGGGCAACGTCGCTGAGCGCGGCATTGGAAACGCGGGGAAATACTTGCTGTAATTGCGAGGGGTTTATTTAATACCTTTTAGCACAGAGTTAACTCATTCAGTGAGGAGGGCTTGTCTGATGGGCTGATGGCACTGCCCTCTCTGTCACACCGTGTGAGATGCCCACCCTGCCCTGGCCGTACAGGGCTGAGCAGAGCAGCAGCCTTTGGCTTTTCTCTGCCCATTCAGGTTCCCAAAACACACACCCACCCCTTAGAGACACTGCTCAACAACAGTCTTGTTCCTTACTCCAGATGTTCATGCTTTGCTGTTAAGCAGCATTTTTTCATCTGGTGACCTCAAAGTACTTTGCAAACATTTAATTATAGACTCATAGAATGGTTTGGGTTGGAAGGGATCTTAAAGATCATCCAGTTCCAACCCCCCTGCCCTGGGCAGGGACACCTCCCACCAGACCAGGTTGCTCCAAGCCCCATCCAGCCTGGCCTTGAACCCCTCCAGGGATGGGGCAGCCACAGCTTCTCTGGGAAAACTGTTCAGTGTCTCACCACCCTCAGAGTGAAAAATTTCTTCCTGATATCTAATCTAAGTCTAACCTCTTACAGTTTGAAGCCATTACCCCTCATACTATCACTATATGCCCTACATCTTATCACTACATCTCTACAAGTCCCCCTCCAGCTTTTTTGTGGGCTAATTAAACCTTTCTGCTTCCACATGCCATAGACACTGGTCCCTTTCACCAGATAAGCAAACAAAGGTATAAGGAACCTACAGCTTAATCTGTTTTAGACGGTTTCCCAACAGGCAGTCAAAGCAGAGGCATCCAAAGTCAGCAATGAAAGCACAGGCATGGGTTGGCCTGGAGCACAGAAATCCATGGCACCTTCTCCTGCAGCCACAAGCTGAGGACAACAGGCCAAACTCCGGGTGCAGCTACATGGGTGGGAGCCAGCAGCATCCTGGGGTGGCAGGGGCTGGTGCTGGGTTCCTGTGCCATGAAGAGAGCGAAGGCTCTGGACCCACCAAGCTGTGAACTGAAGAGCATTGGCAGGACAGTTAACAAAGCCCCTGTCTTCTTCCCACCCATTCTGCACTTTCCATGACCTCTTCCTTTCATCGGTAAAAGTAAATTGAATTCAGCACCTTTAAAGACCCTGTCTGGATCCATAACATTCATAACCATGCTGTAACCATGAATGAAAAGCTAAGCGAGAGTATGGTTTGTATCCAAGGGCTCTTTTGCTTTTTATATGTTTACATATACCAGCCAATGGTCAGCAAATAAGCGCCACGGCTTGTAATGAAATGTTCGAACCATCTGTTTTAATCTGCGATTTAATTTCACTGTAAAATATTAAAGTTGTTCCGATGGTTGGGTTGGTACGGCTGCTTTATATGAAAAGGATTGAATATCCCAGAGCAATTATGCTGCACCAAGCACATGCCATGGGTATTATATTCTGTATTGTTATTTTGTTCCATTAAAAACATTAAAAAGCCTTCTTAATACAGTGGGACAGAGTTTTAGGTCTCTCTTTTTTGTTAGAAACAGGTAGAAGATGCCAAGGACAAACATTAAGGATCTTTTTGAAAACAGCACGAATTTTTCAAAGTGCTAAAAATAAACAAAGTTTAAAAAAGCTAGCATGCAACCAAGCGAAGAGGGATGGAGGAGGAGGAGATTTCACCGTTGCACAGAGGAAAGTGCCTCAAGTTGACGGTCAGCACATGGCAGTGCCTGTGTGAGAGGATTTGGTTATTCCCCAGCGATGTATCAGTGTTTGCAGTGTCAGAAGGTAGCTGGGAGCTTGGTGCTGGTGCTGCCTTTCCTGCCCTGCTGTGGTTTACCAGGGCGATGGAGAGGGACTTGACCCTAGTGTGGTCTCCTTCAATACATTTCATTAACAAAAAAAAGTCATTCTTTAAATTAGTAAAATACTAAAGTAAAACTAAGCTGTGTGAAATTATTTTACATCACTTCTGACATTGACATTTTGTCTTTACCAGTAGCTGTGTTATGGCACAGCATTAAAATATCTGCTCTTGTTTACGGCAGTGCTAAATTGAGGCGGCTGATCCCTCCTTTCTGTGCTCCCACATCACACCCAGGCTCAGTCTCTTCGGGCCTCTAAAGAGACAATGGCTAAGAAAGGAAGAAAAAACCCTCACAAACAATAATTATTTCAAATTATTTCCACTTTTTTTTTGTTTTGGCATGTGGGCAGGGCTGGTGCAGTGTGCTGCTGGGTAACCACCTTTCTTATTTTCATGTGGTTTGAACACATATGTTCATGTTTGCCTTGCTATACCATGGTGCCTTGAGATATTTTTCACTTTAATGAAGCAATTCATAAACTTATTTTTTTTTCTAGGTCCACCAGTACAGCAGGCCTGTGGGTTGGCAGGAAAGGACAGCCAGCGGTTGCTCTTCCAGCAGGTATGAGTTGTTCCCCTGCCCCAAATTTCCCATGTGACCTCTAACAAATCCCATCACTCTCAATGAGCAGTGTCCCATGCCATGGTCCCGCTCTGCCCTGCTGTTCTTCTGCTCCCATGGTGGCTGGGATGGAAATAAGGTGAGGATCTTGTGTTGGTACCATTGGCGTACCCAAAACACAGACCTTTTCTCCACGTGATGTGACTCACGTGTGTCTTTTAGGGAACTTGCAAGAGGACACATATTCCCCCCCAGCAGAAGCTCCTGGTCTCGGAGGCAGGAAGCATTGCAGCCCCGTGAACCCAGTGCTTGAGCTAATCTAAAGCCCTTTAGGGAGTCGGGGCTAATTAACTCAGCGCTTTGGCATCCTGACATAACTATATGGCTTCTTGGACCCCAGCTAGTATTTCTAGCCAGCAGTCTGCTGCGCTACGTGATAGATCTGCTTGGCCAACGCCTGCTCAGGGGTCCCCAGCACAGGACAGGGAGAAGCAGGGGTTGATGCCCCCACCCCAGGACTCTGCAGCAGTCGTTTTCCATCGTACCCACAGCCACATCTCGCTCAGCGTTATTTGGAGGAGTATGTGCTACTTGCAATGCATTTTTCCTGAACATAAGCTGGAAATTACTGATTTTACCTTACACAGCTAGTATAAAAGCACTAATGTCCTAATGAAGAGTCTCACTTAGCTAAATGCTTCATACAGCTGAGTAAAACAAAGAATTTTACTAGAGCTTAACCCAGTCGTTAATAAGCTTTTTAACCCTGACCTTTCAAATCAATGATCTACCACTGGTTTTACCTTTCAAGAAGGAATTCCATTTTCAAGTGATAAAACATATTTTGCACTCCTTACAATCTAATGATTATTCTCAGCGTTACTGGATATATGAGGCCATCAAACCATTAGAAGGTATAAAATGTATTAATGTACAGCATTCACGGCTACATTTGCTTTAGAGTCAATAAAAGGGAAACAATTTATAAAGGGCATTTATGCTCATTACAGAATATCGATAGATTGTTTCTCCCATCGTTTCTGAAGTATGAAGGACTCCCTTTCGTGATGGATAGGAGAGGATTTGCATAAGCTCTTTGCTTACACCCTGAAGTTCTCCAGCACGGGGCTGTGTGCAGGGGTTTGTGGCCAGGCTTTGGGCTGGGATGCGTGTGGGGTGGGACCGTGGTGGTACCCACAAATTCTTCCTTCCCAGGGGACCGAGCATCTGACTTTGGGAGTTAATCCCAGCTCTACAGACAGCTATGGGGCTTCCAGCACCATCAATGTCACAAGGCTGTGGGCAAATCAGATGGAGGTCGGCAAAGAAGAAGGGAATTTATTTGTGAGGAAGGTGAGGGCTGGAGTACACAAATGATGGCAGAGCTTTGCAGGGTACCTTCCTAAGTGGGAGGAGGAGGAGAGAGGCTGCTTGATGTGTGAAGGGTGAAAAACAGAAAGGAATTACGTGTGGGGTAGAAGAGGATATAAGAGCACCGGCACTATAGCTAGAGGCAGAAATTTCATAGTTTGTCCTAGTGAATAACTCAATTAACTGCAGAAATAAAATCTATGAAGAGACGAGTGATTAAGGCACTGGCCTGAGTCTCAGCAGACCTGGATTCGGTTCCTGGCTGTTTTCAGATTTCTGTCTGACTTTTGGCAAGTCTCTTCAACTCTCTGCGCCTTGGTTTCCCATCTGTTAAAGAGGAATAATAATAATATTTCCTTTCTCTCCCGCCTATTCCAGCAGCAAGCTCTTCTGGGCAGGCGCCGTCTCTCTCACAGTGTGTGTACAGGGCTTTGACTGCTGGGGTTTTGATCCTTGCACTACAGCAGGACTTCTTAGAGGGATGGGAAGTGCCATGCCATAAAAACCCACTTATTTACAATTTCTGATGACTAAATGATATTCTATAACTTGTTAAACAGATTTCTTAACATCAATTCTTCAAGGACAAATTATAAAAAAAAAAAAAAAGCAATCAGTAAATTAGAGAAGGAAAGTGATTCACATCTCTGTTAAAATGTGTAAGAGTCTGAATTTATCTTCCGAAGTAGAAATATCACAGTTTGAGAGAACGGAGAAACCATTAACACAGCACAAAAGCAGAGAGTTGGCCTTCTCCATTTCTGCTCTTGCTCCTCTACTCATCTGGCCTCTCTATATGGACTGACCTTTTCAACGTTTCTCACTGACAAGCCATCGTCTTGATGCACATGGTGGTTTCCCCTGCTTGCATATGCTCAGGCCCATCTGGTTGGGTGAAATTGTGCCTGCTCACACACACACACACACACACACTGAAAGCAAGACTAGGTAATATCAGTTGCAGAGCACTGGTTTAAGAGGACAACCAGCAAATCTATAAAATTAAATCTCAGCTGCAGAGACTTCCCGGTAATAAGCAGTCCCAATTAGAAATGCAAATGTCACTGAAAGGGAGCATGTCTGTTGACAGTAGACTTTGAGGAAAGCTTTGGTTTTAGTGCTAGTAAATTAATCTTTAATTATGAGCACGCCTCACTTCTGAAAGAAGTGCCCTGCACAGGCTGAACTGACAGCACACGGAAGTTTCAGGCTGTTGCTTTCTTCTGTCAAATGAAATGTCTCACCCACAAATAGCAGAGGAGAGCCTTGCTGCTGGTGGTGGATTTAGTGCTCTAGTTCAGCTCCAGCTGGGGCTGGCCAGTGTCATTGGCTTTCCAGATGGCAAGAAGTCATCATCAACCCGTTAAAAATGTTGGTATTAAACCAGCATGACTCCCATGCTCTTGATAAATATAAATATCTAGATGAAGAATTTTCAAGGTTTGGGTTTTCCAAATCCCCTACCTCCCCCCAAACCAGCCCATGCTCCTACATTCCTTTCCTTCCCCAGCTCGGTCTCCTGCCCTCCATGAGGAGCACACATCGCCAGCAAAGAGAGGACCAGAAGATGCTACAGCAACCCCTTCTTCAGCCAGCGATGAGTATGTCCAACACCTCCACTCCCGTGCTGGCTGGATTATTAAAATAACATTTCCCCTTCCAAGTAAGTAAATAAATCTCATTGGCAAGTTTGTCTTGTGACAGCCAACATCTTGTCTCCCCGAGAACTGGGCTGGTGTCCTGCAAAGCTGGAAACCCAACAGTTTAAATCCTGAGTGCAACAGCCAAGAGACACACCAGATCCATCTTCTGAGGTAGCAGATACAATGAAGGAAGCAAATATGTTCTAGAAAACACATTATTAAAGTTATAAAAATAGTTTAATTTCTTAAATCTTGAAGTTACGAAATCTTGCTGTCATTTTCCCAGCAAGCTTTTGCTTTTTTTAGCCTACAGCTGAAGAGCTTTACCCCAAAAGCTTTGTTGCCCTAAAGAGGCCGTGCTGCACACCCACCTCAAAAGGCCCAGAACACCTGGTTTCAGGCACAACAGGAAGATCAGAACATACCTTATCATAAATATGCATATGTGACACAAGAGCCTGCCGCCTTCTTGGAGAGATGCCATAATTGACGGAACAAAGTACAACAAAACTTCACATCACTGGTGGATCAGAAGAACAGAGGTAACCGAAAGGCTAGAAAATTACAGGTTTACTGACATTTTGCTCAACCTTACCCATTCTTTATTGAAAGAGATAATAACTATCTATAGGAGAGCTGTCTTAAGGCTCCATTCATTCCCTTTCGCTAGCCCAGCTGAGAGGTGGTATAATATAACGCTCGCTGGCATCTGGCATGTCATTTAATTACACCTTCAGCTTGCTGGGAAAATGTTTGAAGTGTCAAGGTAAGCAAACTATAAAAATATATTTCCCCTGCTACAGGAAGGCTGCTGCAATGGCAAGCGGAGAAGATGGGGCTTGCTCCAGCCATTACTCTGGGTCTGTGCAAGGAAGGTGATGCAGAGGAGTCTAATTCATGAACAATTATCGCCCTTTGATAAGGGACACCATCTGCTCCCAGCAGCCTGGCTCCAATTCCCCAACAGGCACTTGGGAATTCTTCCCCAAATAAACCATTGGTGTAACAGCAAAACAGTACTATTGGCTCCAGTGAAGTTGTGGCTTCTCGCATCAGCATGGATTATGCCCCATTCCTTTACCAAAGAAGAAAAAAAAAAAAAAGGGCAGTAAAATGCCAGTCACCAGCACCGAAAGAGCCAGGCAGGGCTTGTTTTAGCTCATCAACTGTGCTCCGCTCAACCGTGAGAGGCTGTTAGACATCACCTACGGGAAGGATGAAGGTAAACCAATATATCTGCACTAGTGGACACTGTCTCACCAGTGGGGACTTTCACCCTGAGCAGAGTCAAGGAGCTCTTTTAACGAGCACAAGCTGATCAGCAAACCAAACAGTCGGGCACTGTATTTCCCTAGTGAAGACCAGTGATACCCTCCATTAGCCATGAAGAGGCCCACACACCCATGAACCAGCCAAGCACTTGAGGATTCCAGGCTTTTGGCACACTTGTGTTCCTATTGTGCTATGTTTGTAAGAGAAAAAAATATAAATCTGTAATTTCAGAGCTGGCTGTGCTGAGACACTCACCTCGTCCCGTGGTGCTGGGGGTACTTCACTGTGTTTTGCTCTACAAGAAATGCTCCTGCAGCGAGCAACTGGCTCTGACGACGGGGACAGCCAGCACCCTCCAGCCCTGCTCCTCTCTGTGGCTGCTTTTAAGTCACCACGTATTAAAAAATCTCAGTTCTCATTTTCCCTGCTGTGAAATGAGATTGGCCTCTCCACCAAGGCTTCTTCTGGAAGCCTTCTGTTTGTTGATGCTGTATGCAGGAGAGGCAGGAGCATATGGGGGGGGTTGTCTCAGCATCGCACCCCCATTCGCTCGTCAGGGTAGCAAAGCCACAGATAACCTCGTCCCTTGCTAAACCAAAGATGACCCCTGAGCCTTTGACCCTACGAGCTAGTGAAACAAAGGGGAGTGCGTTAGGGCTGGCCTCGGTACAAGTAATTGAGGTGAAAGAAATAAATCACATAATTTTTCTCTTTGTGCATGGCGGGGGGAGGGAGGGGAAAGGAAAGGAGAAGAAAGTTCACGCTGATATTAGTCACCTTGTTTTGTTCTTACTAATGGAAATTTCTCAGAAACCAAAATAAAGGGTGTGGTGTAAGAACCTGAAGAGAATAAAATTAGCTAGAACCCACATCCTAACTTTTAAACCCGGTGCCTGGGTGCAGGTGTCTGCAGCTGAGCATGGTATTTTTGTTTCAGCTCATCCGAGGTATGAGTCATTTCCATCAAAAGAGGAGGATGCCTTGATCTGTGTACGAGCAAGGGCTGGAACAGCAGCTGTTGGAGCAAATACAAACATCCATGCCAAGGATTGTAAGGATGGAGTTTATCTAATATGTAAACAGCCACCTGCTGCAAATGAAAAATTACACCCACAACCACCTGAATAAGATAAGCATACAACGGGGAAAACGAAGAGACAGATTTATTATCAATTTGTTGGAACTTTTGAACCAAACATCTCTTTTGCAACAGAACAGTGGGATGCAGAAGGAAATAGTCCTTGCCCCAGACCCGCTCAGCAGCATTTATTGTGCCTAAGTGATTTTCTTTTCTTTGCTAAGTCTGGTGGAGATGAAAACACCAACCCGAAGAAGATAATTAAAAGCTAAATGAAACCACATACAGCTGTGCTACTACATGGCTAATGAACATGCAAATATATACATATGACAAGGACATAATGCAGACTGGCTGCCTTGAGTGGTTAGTGCAGATTTCCAAGAGCTGGAAATGCTATTGATTATAACTGAGCTAAACTTCCTGACTCCAGACTCCGAAGATGAGCCTCAAATAACCATCACGCAGCATATGGGAACGTGGCTGCAAGGATTTGGTGAATAATGGCTTGGAGACCTGAACGTTCACATTTTGGATGGGAGATGCAAATGACTGAGCCTGTACTCAGCATCCCTCTTGGCTGCTGAGTGCAGGCTCCTCGGCAGCCAGGACCAGCACCATGAAATCCTCCTCAGCATCTTGGCATGCTCCATCTTGCTGTCAATTAAGATGTTGGAGTGGTGGGGTTTAGCTGGGATATTTATTTTTACCTTCCCACTTCACTTGGCAAGATGTTGGTACGTGGAGGACACATTTCTGGGAGGAGCAAGGCTGTGGGTAACACATGTAAGGCAAAGCTTCTGGGAACCTGTGAAAGAGAAGGCATCACCAGCATGGAGAGGTTCTCCTCTGAGGGTCTGCCATCAGTGTGGAAGAAGACCAAATCAGGTGTATTATTAATTAAATATTACCCATGTAGAGAGTAAGTCTTATGAGGAGAGCTGAGGGAGCTGGGGGTGTTCAGCCTGGAGAAAAGGCAGCTGAGGAGAGACCTTGCTCTCTACAACTACTGAAAGGAGGTGATAGAGACAAAAGGAAATGGCCTCAAGATGTGCCAGGGGAGGTTCAGATCACAGAATCACAGAATTCTGGGAATTCTGGGAAGGGACCTCTGAGATCATCGAGTCCAACCTTAAAAAAACAAAACAACAAGAACAAGAGCAACAAAACAAAAAACACAACACCCCACGTTTTTCCAGGCCATGGCCAGGAGAGATGTATCACAGCCTTAGAGCTGGGTGAAGACAGCTGGACCACCGGGACAACCGAGGGAGAGAGGACACCCATGGAAACCAAATTTGTGCTGAACACAATGGTTAGTGCATAAAAATTAATCAAGTACTACAATGACTTGCTTTATTCATAATACTTAATGGTCATGTAATAGGAGTTTTTATTCAGCAGTTAAAGTTCATAAGTGCAGGTTTTACATGTAGAAAGGTATTATGCTGATAGTTTAATTACACACCTTTCTGCACACCAAAGGAAATGGGTTATGCGGGTTTTATAATTAAAGAAGGACTTCTGAGGGGAAATGAACTTTGCAGTCAGCAACATAATATTTGATTTTTATCAGGTGTTTTTGTTTTGAATTTGCCAGCGGTGGCGTAAACAGGTGAGAAACCTCCAAACTGCACGAGGCGCCGGGGGGAAAGCTTTGAAAATGCACCATAAAGTAGCGATGTTTTAAAATAGCAAGGGTGAGCGTGAGGTATAAACACCACGTGTCTGGAAGGCGCTCTGCGTGCCTGCAGAGGTGGCAGAGCCAAAAACGTGGTGGATGTTTGTGTGTTGGAAAAGTGGAACGTTGGCCGCTCTCGATGCTCATGGCAAAGACGGGCACGAGCTGCTGTTGGGTGAGGGCTGGCTCCTGCCTCCCTTTAATAACAATGGGGACGTCTGCACTAATTATGGTGGTGGTGGGGAAGTCAGTAATTCCACGGCTCCTCCCTTGTCAAGAACATAACTTAATTATTAACTTGTATAGAGCATGACTTCATTTCTATACGCATATCAAAGCACATAAAAAAGTATATGCAGGTATATACATATATTCATTTCTATACGCATATCAAAGCACATAAAAAAGTATATGCAGGTATATAAATATATACATATGTACACATATAGATATATATTTACAAACTACTAGAAGAAATCCATTTTTCTAACATAACAATACTTTTTCTGAAGTCCAAAATACTTCAAACATCACCAAATGCCCCCCTCCCCTCCTGACAATATAAACTGACAGGCTCTTATCGTGCCCAACACAAATGAACGTTAAGATGTGGGTTGAACAAAAAAAAAAAAAAAGAAACAAAACAAAAAAAGGACTTTCCAAAAACAATAAGCAAGGGCAAGGCCTGAAATACTTTGAGTACGCCCTTTCCTTTCTGGCAGGAGTGGAGGGCGACTGCCCTGGATGTTGTGATTTGCGGGTGAAGGTGGAGCCCGGGTGATGGCAGAGGGCGGTGCCCGTGACGGGGCTCCCTTTGCTGGCAGCAGCCTCCTCGGGCACCCTGGACCCACCTGTAACTTTCAAAATCGGGATGAAATCTCACACCCAAATACAGAGGAATCCTTTCAAAAAACCCTTTTGATTGGAGCGGACACGCAATAATTACAAGAGGATCGGTTGTGCAAAGGGTGTATCCAAATA